TATAATTATGGTATACTGATGACAATACTATATTCTATCACTGAAAATAAAAAAAATATTTTTAAACATTATTTTTTTATATGTTATGTATCGGCGTGGCTCTAATTGCCCACGCTCAACTGACGTTGGCTGTAAATCACCACGGTTTCTTACGTTATGGCAAGCCTCGGGGCCACTTCTTTGAGTCGTGGAGTTCTTCCATTACTAGTACGGTACATTTCATTAAAGCGTGTTTTTTTATTTATTTTAAAAATATTACTTATTTGGAAGAAGTGGACGTGTACGAGGCCACACTTGATTTACTCTACCACGCGCGGACCTGCCGATCCACTGGCTTCTCTTACGCCAATTTATGCTGCTCGTTGGCCAGAGGCAGCGGGCGATGTCAACAAACATTCCAGTAGTTTCAACTGGTGCACCGAGTATTGGAATGAGTGTGGCCAGAAGCAGAATAAAAACGTACTACCGTGGGCACCCTAATATTTACTGTTCGTAATGGTGGAAGCATTTTAAATATGCTGCTGCTAATGCGCGAACGTTCAGATCGAGAAAACGATGCCGTGTTTGGGGTGAATTGAATTCGGGCTTTTCACGGTACACTTGCAATCGTAGTCAATGATCAGCAATAACATTTACTGCGCCCCTATTCACTCACCATGCCACGGCCACGCAAATACAACCGCTGCTCCTGATCGCTGTGGAACACGCCAGTAGTCGAGCACGAATGCAATTAAAATGTAATTTGCGTGTGGATTTAATTATGTACCGCATGCAGCGAGTTGTTGTTTGTCGGGTACACTTTTTTTTTACACCCCTCGTTGCAATCCACATACATTACACATACAGTACATCACGCATACCGAGCCTATCATTCATCCCGGGGTCGTTAAAACGTGCACCACTTTTTTTGTGGAAAGTCACCTGCAGGTGTCTTATGGAGGGACTTGTCCCGCCCATGGGAATGTGGTATTTACACCACCGGCTCAGGGGTTTCGGTGGAGACGAACGACACCTTATCCCGAATGAACAACAACAACAACAATAATATCAACTTCTTGGCTCAAGAGAAGAAAACCACAAAGCTCTTGGTAAAATGACGATCGCGAACTGAAGATCTCACCGCGCTGTGTGGGTCAATTGCGGGTTGCTTGGCCATATTTCGATTTAAAGCTTTCGTGACTGCAGGGATTCATCTTCTTGGTTCTTTCGGTAAAGTCACGTAGAAGGGAAGTAATAAAATAATAAAAATAAAGCATAATAAAATAATTCTCACGACGTTTCGGCCACAACGCAAGCAGCCGTCCTCAGGTGAAGAACAGGTCTGTCGAGAAGACAGAGTCCGAATGACAAGTCCTAGGCTTGGAGCGTCTAATAATTCTCACGTCGTCAGAATTATTTTATTATGTTTCATTTTTATTATTTTATTACTTCCATTCTACGTGACTTTACCGAAAGAACCAAGAAGATGATTGGCCATACTTTAGGCGAGCCAGTGCACGGGTTTGTGGAGAGCAGGGGGGGTTCAAATGTCGCTCTCCCATTGATATTGGTCGCGATTATTAACGGAGCTCAGGTCGCCGGGTTCATAGTGCAGCGTGCGATTCAGAACGACCACACTCCATCCCCCACACCCACCCACCCACTCCGAGAGTAGTAATGTCCGTTCTGGGTTATTTTCCAAGCCAAAGTTTCATCCCCCTGCTACTTAGTGGTTGGGGCACAAACCACCAGTGCACCACGCGCATTTTTGTTTATTTACTCTTTACACAAACTGATGACTGCGGTTATGTTCTCTGAGACATATTTATTTAATACAAGTGACATAGGAATGCGATTATTCTTTTAGAAAAAGAATGCGTCATCCTTTTACATAATCGCAACGTTGGCTGCATTACTAACTAATGTTAACACCATGGGGTTTTAAACGACAACCAGGTGAGCCGTTCGTGCAATCGGTTACCGGTTATAAACGTCAGAAACGGGTGTACATAGTCGTTTCCTGTGGAATTTTTAGGAATGACGAATGCACCGATTGGCATGCGCTGACATACAAACGTCACGGGCGAATGCGAATCTGGCCGTCTTACAACACTTACGCCTACAGCAACCGAGCTAAGTTTCCCCTCGTGGTGCGTTCATTTCTCGGTGAAGATTTAAAAAACAAAGAGTCCTGCTCACGCCATTGTTTGTGGACGGTCTTTCGCTAGAGGAAGCTCAAGGGGGCATTTTATTTACTTTTCCACGCTGACCAAATGTGGGGTTAGATCGCGTAAATATAAATGTGTCGTTAATTCCGCCACCACCCGACACAGCCAATTAGTCAGGTTCGTCACGTAAACGGAACATGCCAATGCGTTACTCGCACAATTGTAAATGTTGTGGATTGTAATTGTTGTGGATTTGCTCTCCAACACACCGGTGTGCTGTGCTCGTAACGAATTGCCATGTTTACGTGACAAACCTTACTAGTTGGCTGTGTCGGGTGGTGGACGGTTTAACGACACATTTATATTTACGCGATCTTTAACCCACCAAAAAAACCTCTATATTATGGATTATATTGCTCGCGAAAGCCTGCTACGTGTTAAACAAACGTGCACTGGAAGAGGTCGGCATTTCAACAACATTTTACCCAACACACACGACTTTGCCGATCGACTAACCGTGGCGAAACCCACTTAAACTGCTGGCTAGACAGAAGCGGAGGGAATTAAAATAACTTGCCCCATTTGTTTTAACTGCCACGTTTGGGAATTTGAATCGAAACGGCGATCTTTGGATCGCAAGTGCAATGTGCCAACCAAAGCACTGCGCAAATTGCCTTCATTTCTTAGCTAAAAGTGGAAAACTGCTGTTTATCGATCTCGACCATTCTGTACGTGTGGCCAACGGTAATCGATTTTATTTCAGGTTTTATTTTTTAATTCGGTTAACGGATATGTAAAAAATACATTTTAAGAACCCGAAATAACATCTATAAAAGGCACATCCCTTTGTCAACCCACTGTTGGATGAAGGCTCCCCAACCGACCATACTTCACCATGCTGGTCAGTGGTGAAGTTGGAGAGGTGGAGGTGCGTAGGAAGGACTGATTAAGATGTCACGCGTCACTGATGTTTGCGGTAGCCGGGAATTGAACTCTGGGATTCAAAGGGAAGTGTGCTTACCACTGCGTCGCCGCTCCCATAGAAATACACGTGTGTGTGCACGTGTGTGCACGTGTGTGTGTGTGAGCGATGGTGTAGCGGTTAGCGGGCTGCGCTATGAACCTGGCGACCCGAGTTCAATTTCCGCTCACGGCGAACACCACCAGTGACGATTATTTGAACCGGTCCTGGGCCTCCCCTAGGTCGACTCAGCCTAAAATGAGTACCGGTGCGGTGTGTAAACATCGCCACTAGGGAGACAAAGGCGGCCGGGCGTGGTGTTGGCCACCCACCCCCTCGTGTGCCGTGCCGGCCTTCATAGGTGCTCGCTAACAGCACTTGCTCCAACAGTCTGTTACAGGCTATATGGGCGGGGGATATTTGTCTATGGAGGCTCGTGAATGACGCTACTAGGGAGTTGGAGGCAGTCGCTCTCCAGCAACAACGGAGGGCAGAGGGAACGACGTTCACAACAACGACCGGAGCGCCGGGCGGATAAAATACAGCAAGGGGGCACAGCTGGTGATGCATCTACCGGTCATCTCAGTCAGCCAACTCACATGGATGGCACCTGCGGGGTCTGTCCCGAGACCTCTTCCTGTCAGCGGCGGAGCCTTCGACACTTCACGTGGCAGCCTCAAAGTGCACCTGGCCTGGCACAGGCGACACTCAGTGACGGTGACGTTCTTTATATATCGGGTAAGGATCGGTATTTATATTTCGTGGCACCTGCTTGCCAATAAAATGGACCTAAACTGTTTGACATTACCCATATACCTTAATGACCCCCCCCCCCCCACAAGTGACCACGCGTTACATCATTAACACTGTACACACGTGCTTTTCCAACACAATCTGTACCTGACCGGTAGTGAAATCGATCGACCGGTAGTCCCCTCTCGTGAACAATTATTAACATGCGGGCGCAGCGGTTGGCGGGCTGCACTATGAACTCCGCGGTGGCCGAGTTTCGTTTCCTGGTCATGGACACCTCGTGAGCGGACCCAGTGGCAAAGCGGAACGGTCGGATGCCATCGTGCCCCATCTCATCATCGCCGCACACCGGAGTCATCCAGCAGTGGATCGACAAAGGGCCCCATTAAATCGTGTACGGTTATAAACAATGGCCATCGTTTTTTGCGTCTTGCGTCCCGAATAATGAAGTTATTTCACCGCACAGCAAAACGCGTTAAAAATAAAATGAGAAAGTGTTTTTTTTTTCAACCTACCTACGTGACTGCAGTCACGAAAGCTTTTAAGTCAAGAATAAACGTGACATTCTCAGGCCACCAGTCGATGCAGGCGTCCATCCGCACGCCACGTCGATAAAATGCTTGCGGGGGTGCGGCGCTTGGTGGCATGAGACCATACTTCGCCAGAATGGTCACTGCGGGTTAGTGATGGGAGAGGTGCCCAGGACCGGTTCAGATATCACTCGTCACTGATGTTCAACACGGCCGTGACTCATTCTCAGGGGGTTTTTTTCCGGGTTCATAACGTAGCAAGCTAACCGCTGTACCACTGCTCCGTGTGCTAGGAAAAGAGGCCATCGCCCTGATTTTGCCGATGTAAAATGTTTCACGTCTTATATCGCTTCGCATTTAAGGCAGCGTCGTGTGACGAACGCCTTGAATGTTTCTTCTTAATCGTGACTGTGCACCATTGCCAACGCAGCAGCAGCAACAGCAGCAGCAACAGCGTCGGCTCATCATTTAATTCGGCAACAATAACAACAAGAACAACAAAAATCAGTTCGCATTAAAACAGCAACGGCTCGAACCCACTGCCATCTGCACTGCTGCGGCGACGACGTTACAGAGTCGTCGTTGCGCCGATATGAGCCGTGAAAAATCGTCTGCAAGCGTTTTTTTTCGTTTTTTGTGTGTGTGTGCGTGTGCCCTGGCCTCGCTACCAATCATACGAGAGCGGTAACCCTGCACCCCCACCCGCTCGCCCGCGCGTACATAAGCGACGGCGTCCTCAACGGGTGAGGCAGTGCGCAAAAAAAAGTGCCCGGGACCCCATCGGAGCTTTGAGAGCGCGAGTCTGCGTGCGCTTTTAAGACGCGCGGTAGCAGCGTCTGTATCTCGAGGTGTGTCGAGAGAGAGAAAGAGAAGAGCAGCGAGCAAGCGTGCGACGCAACAATCAGCGCACCATCGGAGGGTGTTTCTTTGGACTCTATATAAACATCGTCGGGTTCTCGTCCCTTGCTCCACGCCGAATCGGTAAGAAGATCTTGTACGTGGAGTGAAGTCTCCCACCCACCCCCCACCCACCCACCATCACCACCACCACCAACCATCAACACCCACTCCACACACACAGACACCACCTCATCATCATCTCAACCATCGCGCGCAGCGACTGCTGAGCGCATTTCGGTCTGAGAGAACAGCTTTGTAGCGCGCCCCAGTTTTCTCTCGTTGTTTATTTTAAAATAGATTATTTATACGAAGGTGACACACTTTGCCGATGGGGTGAATTGTAAGTATCCTCGTGATGAAAGCGGTCGACGTGCGTTTATTTTTAGTTAACTGGACAGTAACGGGTAGAGAGGAGTTGGGGTAGGGGGGGGGGAGGTTTGGAGGTCGTTATTTGATCTCTGATGGACATTCCTCGCCTCTCGCCCCGCTCTCTCCTCTCTGGGCGCGTGCACGTTGTGTACCAAGCCACCCCGCACGCGCGTGCGTGCGCGCGTGCGTGCGCGTGCGTGCGTGCGTGCGCGTGCACCCAATGCGCGCACACGCACGCGCACGCGCGCATTGGGTGCACGCGCACGCGCGCGCGCACGCATTGGGTGCACGCGCACGCGCGCGCATTGGGTGCACGCGCACGCGGTGCCCACGAGTTCTGGCCGAAAGCAGTTGCCGTGCCCTTTTCTCAGCTGTGCTAATCTGCTGCATCGAGGTTTATAATTACTCTGTGTACTGACATCACTCGGCAACCACATCACGCGCGCTGTTTGTATCTTTAGTAGGGTTCAGTGTTTTGGAAACATTGCTGACTTCGGTTTGGGAAGTTGGGGTGGGTGTGGGGGTGGGCCGCCGCTATGTAGAACACAACGTGCCAAAGAGTTATCCCGACGAGGTTTCAAATCGGCGTGGAGGTAGCCCACCTTCAGCGTAACGTTTATTGCGCGAACACGGACTGATCTCGAGATTCTGTCTGCCAGTCGCTAACAGCCCGGGTCCCGACTAACATCGTGCAGAGGAAGTGCGTAAATAAGCCTACGCTCCTACCAATCAAGCTGCCGTCCATCGAAAACACCCCTACAAAAAACAAAGAGAGAGAGAGAACACGTTTGAAGTGCGCTTCCGGCGTTTGCAAAACGCGAGAGAATTTGCGTTAGTGACTCAAGCCGGGCCGTGTGGGGTTTTTGCTTGTTTGTTGCAGACGCGATGAAGCCGTCCTACGCGTGCCCGTGGATGGGTCTCCTGCTCACCACAGCCTGCCACCTCGTGCTCACGGCCACGATCCGCACGGACAAACTCGCCGAGCTCAAACGGTAAGGAGGAGGCAGACGGAGTGCGTGCGGCGACGGGGATGGGATGGGATGGGGGGGTGGTTTGGTGACAATGACGACGCATCATTGTCCGTATAGATCAGCGTGGCCCTTGCCGCGCTGGTAAAGGTCATAACGACCGTCGCCTTCTTTGCCAGCTCACGCTCGCAGGGTCTTTGTTTACCGACACAGGTTCCAGGGCAAGTTGTCGCCGCATTTGTAATGTGTTGTGTGTTTGTGCGTAACCGCAGCCCGCCCCTCTCGCCCAAACCCACCCCAAATTAACATCCTATTCGTTATTTTCTTTCCCAGGCTAAATGCGCACGGGGTGGCCAGACTAAAGCGCGACCTTGAGACGCTCACCCTATCGAGGCACGTGCGCGCCAGTGCGGAACTGAGCGTTGCCGGTCACCTGTACGTCCGCCTGGAGGAATTAAAAAGCACCTTGCGACACGTGGACAGGTGCGTACACACCGCGGGCTACGCGGGGAGCTATAGAACAACACCCAACGCGAAGGTGTCGCGGTCTTCTCGTGATCAGCATGTGAGCACGCGCGCGCGAATGCAATATTATTGGAATGGAATTCGTTTCTGGTAGGTTGACTGTCTCTCTCCTCCCCCACCGTCTCTCTCTCTCTGGGGTCGCTCATCGCTATAGAACGCACGGCTGGCTTCGCAAGCATGTGGCTATGCTTATGAAACAGATTGCATCAAACTCGTATAGTGTGTCCCAACTCGCATTCTACGGCTGAATTATTCAGAACATTTGAGCAGACGGAACGTTTTTTGTGTTTTTTTATAAAACCGAGAGAGAGAGACCCCGCAGCGATGAATGGGAGGGGGGGGGGAGGAAGAATCCAAAAATGCAATATAACTGCTCCCAAATCCCATTAGTCCGGGGCGGGTCTAGTATCACGCAAGGGTCGAGCAGATTCCGGCGTGGCGTGATGATGGAGCAACAGCCTCGGCGGCCAATAGTGCCTGGCCGCTCATTCATGCAAATCACGCGTCGAAATCATCCAATTTGGGTTTTAACCTTTTGAGCGGCGACGTGCCAGATGTGCATGGTGCGGGGTTGTCCGTGTGCCATCCTTAGAAGCTCTGCTAAATGTGTAAGGCGAAATGAGTGATATTAAACTAATCGCCGTCCTCTTCCCCCCCCCGCCCTCTCTGTGCCTTGACCTTGGATCTACAGCAGCAACAGCAAAAGCAACGAGCCACGGACAAGGGCAAAGCGTTACGCCCACGCTCACCACTCAAAGTCGATGAGAGCCGGCTGCTCGCTGGGCACGTGCCAGGTGGTGAACCTGAGCCACAGGCTGTACCGGCTCCTTGGGAAAATAGACAAGGACGACGCGGCGGGGAACACCACGTGGAATCCAAACAGCTTCGGCCGCAGGCGACGATCCGCCGACCTCTTCCAGCGGCCGAGAAGATAGCCTCTCCGGGGGAGGGTGCTGGGAAAGGATGGATGCTCTTTCAGTGGTGGTGGTGGTGGTGGAGTTGGGTGGCTGGGTTGGTGGGGTGGCTCCCTTAGGAAGGGCTGCAGTCTTTATACCTTGAAGACGTATTCGCCGAGTTTACAAGGACGCACAGGCTCCGACCAAGGACTGACTGTGAAGAAAAACAAGAGTCTGTGGCATTTGCGAGCCGCTGGGGGGGGGGAGGGGGTTGAGGCGGCGCCAGCTCGACACGATTCCGCGCTCTTGCCGCTCTCGTACACGTGGAGCTCTGGCTGCGGGGAGTGCGGGGGGTGGCGGGGTGGGGGGGGGCAGTCCGTGGATCGGCGTGTGCGCTCCATCTGCTGGTCCCTGCAGAAGGCGCCAGGCTCCCCGAGAACGTAGCGTTGTATCGACGGCGTGATAAGGAATGTAGACGCATCCGTAACCTTGTTGGGTTTCATTTTTCATTTCGCATTTCTTTTTTTGAAAACAATGGACACCCCCGCCCCCGCCCGCCCGCCCGCCTCGGTTCGGATATTGCAACCACTCCCCCGTTCTCACTTACGACAAAGTCCGACGAGGTGCCGCATCTGGCCGGCGAAATGCAACGCAGAAGAGACGCTTCGTGGATGCGGTTTCCCTATGAATGGACTGAGCGCTCTCTCTCTCTTTCTCTAACAAAACGTGGTACAGCCCCCCCTTCACTCACGTATCGTGCCATGTGCACCCCCCCCCCCCCGCCCCCCTTCGGAGCTGTGTGTACCGCTGGCAGCTTCAGAGATGCCCACAGGCGCGTGGAGGGAAATTGGCCTAACACCGTGCCATTTTCGTAGCATTTGATTATTATTATTTTTTTCCCCTTTACTTTATATTTTATATTATTATATTTCTAGGAGCGAACGTCCGGAGTTGAGAAAGCCAGCCCCCCCGTTGTTCCTCTTCTCCTTAACCTGCCTCCTCGGCCTCGGCGGGAGGTGACACTGAACTGAAAGGGACCTTTTTGGAGAAAAAAACAGTTACTTGAAACGCAGGAATGTTCGGCACGCTGCAATCCTGTGCAATCTAATGTAGTTTTTATTGGCGGAGAGGAATTCCGAGACGCGTGTTTTTGATGTAACGTGTAAATTATACGGGGCCGGTGTGTGTGTGTGTGCGCGCACGGCTCAGCGCGCGCGCTGCTTTTAATTTATAAATGTTTGTCTATAAAAACAAAACCACTATTTAATTTTGATATGATATCTTGAACATTCCTTTTTATCCCTTCCTGTAAATCCCTTATATCGTTATAATATTATTATTTACTACTACTGTACAGATAAATAAACTTTACAAACCATATATATTGTGCGAACGTGGTGAGTATGTTTTGCAAAATAATGGTGACGTGGGGTTTTTTTTTTTTGCATCCCAAAGGAAGGTTGGGTTCACTGTGGGTCAGATTAGGCACCTCGGCGTATTGCATCAGTCGCAAGAGCTAGCCCAGTAATCCTCCCGTCAAGTACTCCATGTGCCTTTGCGATTGCTCTTCGTGTAAACCCCTTCCTTGATAAATTTACACGAGTGGCAAATGATAGCCCTGTGAATTTGAATTTATATATGAAATAAGCTAGGCTCAAGCCTATGTTTGGCCGGTGCCACGGTCCCTTTGAAGCAATACATGATATAATTATTATTTAAAGAAGGAAATAAATCCACTCCTATAACACTACTTGTCAAGTTATGCTTCTGTTTTGGTGCACTACCGACCACCGTGCGTGATGTACGTCGCACTGCAATCATACACGGCGCATGTCTGTCGACTCGGCCTCATGTTGAGAGTTCGTTAATATCTATCAATGCACTGGTGAATTTGCTGCAGGCACAGCCACCCATTGCCGATACCAGCTTTTCAGCTTCCTTGTCTAAGTAGCCGCCCAAACAAAGTCATATTATTAAGTTGTCCAGGACATAATTGGCTATTGCCTAAAGTCTAATTTGACCTTTTGTAATAAGCCCCAAAATCTGCCCATGTTCACTAGGCAAAAGGGTACAGTGAGTTGACATTATACATAGAAGAGGTTATGAATGAGATATATACATATTTCCCGAGCGCATCTGTTTGCGTACCTCTCTACTCTGCAGCTGTAAGGACCAGGAAAGAGTTCAATGTCCTAATATTTGGTGTGGATAGTGGTCAATGTGGAGGAGCGGTGATGCAGGGGCTAGTTAGAGCACTCCGCTTATGCGTACGGCAACCTGGATTTTATTCCCATCGACGGCTAACATCAGTGTGGGAAATGATATCTAAACCGATCCTGGGTCCATCCCTATAATCTTTGACAATGCACTCCTCAATAAATGCCTGCCCATGCCGTGGCAGTTTCAATATTTGTTTGACCATATTTCACCGCACCGGTCAGAGTTTGAGTTTTAAGTGTCCGGGTTGAGAGCAAGGCGGAAGTGTAGGAGAAAGTTGATATACGTCGCCACGAATGTTAGCCACAGCCATCAATCTAATTCGGTTTGCTGGTTCATAGCACAGTGCGTTCACCACTTGCGCCACTCCTCCTCCTCAAGTTATGCGGATGGATGACCTTTATAACCGGGTAAGAGCCCATTGAGACCAGAGGTCTCTTCAATGGAGCCCTGGGTTTAACTCAGTACTGCATTGCAGCAAGCACATTCCAATGCGTAAACACAACAACACAGAAATATACACGAAACATAATCCGGTCAAAGTCCCCCAAAGCATCTGAATAGTAAAACAAGGTCGTGAGTTCACACGCTTGTTCAATATTTTAAAGACTGCTTCGGGATGAGGTCTAAAATGTGAAAAAAATCAAGACGTAAAAAAAAAATATATAGTATTTTTGGGGTTTCTGTATCCAGTTTAACCAGCAATGATTTAATGGAAATTTGTGCTTAGCAATGGCCAGATCCAGAAGACATAATTTAAGGTTTGGATCAGAAACGTGGACACTGACAAAGGAAATTAAACATCGGTTAAAAACAAAGAAGCGTGGTCGAGGTGTAAATCTGAAACTCCACCGAGAGAGATCAGAACGATGAATAAGCACGGATCTAAAGAACAAATGAAAATCAGAGACATATTGACTGTTCAATGTTCAGGTCGGGTAGACGGCTCGAAGGTGATGATGACCCGGTGGATGAGACTGCTGATCGGTAGCCACAGCAGAGAAGGAACCCGTGAGTCCGATCCACCGCAGTTGCAAAGCGATGAAATCGGGTCACGCGGAAGAGCGAGACGGATTGCGCTATCACCGGAACGTGTGGAATAACAACATCGTGGGCAGACCCTTCACCCAGCAGTCGATACACAATGGCCTGATGCCAACGATGATGAGAAACTCCGTAACGTGATAAATCACCAATCATTGAGGCTCCTTCTTCTTCGGTACCTGCCTAAAAAGAGCGCGTCCGCTTTGCACGGTTGGCTCCGCACGGTGCGAAAAGAAGTCCAACGTGCATGCACGCGTTGATGCATCGATTTAAGCAACACACATTCAGTTCTTCTTGGTTCTTTCGGTAAAGTCACGTAGAAGGGAAGTAATAAAATAATAAAAATAAAACATAATAAAATAAAATAATTCTCACGACGTTTCGGCTACAACGCAAGCAGCCGTCTTCAGGTGAAGAATGAGACACTGCCAGTATCCAGTTCAACCAACAATGATTTAATGGAAATCTATGATTAGCAATGGCCAGATCCAGAAGACATAATTTAAGGTTTGGATCAGACACTGCCAGTGTCTCATTCTGCACCTGAAGACGGCTGCTTGCGTTGTAGCCGAAACGTCGTGAGAATTATTTTATTTTATTATGTTTAATTTTTATTATTTTATTACTTCCCTTCTACGTGACTTTACCGAAAGAACCAATAAGATGAATCCCTGCAGTCACGAAAGCTTTAAATCGAAACACATTCAGTTGTATCGTAATAGTCAACCTACTTTTTTTCAATTTCAAGGCACAAACATTTCCTCGGCAACTCCCAACAGCGTTTTTGCCACTTCGAGTGATCCTCGGCCGATACTATCTTGCCAACGAGCGATGACACAGAGCCGAGCACGTGGGGGGTCACGGTTTGGAACGAGACGCGCTGGGGTCGTCAGCCTGAGCCTTGTCTCACAGCGCCCCCACGCGGTAGAGGCGAAAGAACCTTCACGACTAAATACTATAATTTCAAAACTTTGTCGCGGCGCTGTGCGGAGTATTTAGCTCACTCTCAAAGAGAGAGAGAGAGGGGGGAAAACCCCGACTCAGAGGCGCGAGGAGGAATCTCAGTAGCAGCAGTTATGTAATGAGCTGCCGCTAAATCCCACCCCCCGCCCCTCCAAGCTCTGCAATCCTTCATATATTAAGGTGTTATCGGCCGATTTGCGAGTTCAACCCTGATGAAGCTTGGAGAGCCGAACGGAGTTCAAAATAATTGACAAACACCTTGTTGTGAACGACCTACAGCAGAACATCCATGGGTTTAATGAAGCTCATGGTCCACCCTAAACCACAAATACCGGATGCCCAAATGGAAAATGGAAAACGCTCCAGTGTGCGTCTGAGGTCATACAGAACAGACATTAAACACATAGAACGACGCAATGTCCGATCCGCAACGACAGAAGGAGACGTCAAAGCGAAACACTCCGCGACTGCTGATGCAGTTCACTGGCCTGACCGCCTGAATGTGAAATTGAAAGTTTTGTCCTCTGCATCGACATCGGCAGCCAAACGAAAGAGAGATCAGCCAATTAATGAGCGTTTTGCATGTGAGAGGGGGCAACACTCTATCCCGTACAGATGAACTCGACGATGAACTCCATAATTTTGCTGTACCGCATTCTCCTGGCAAGCCAGGGTTATGGTTACCTCGTCGACGGCCACGGGAAGGAAACGTCACGACATTTGTGTGATCCAGCAACCCTCGCTGCCTCCAGAGAGCTGGATTACGGGGCCCACGTGTAGTAGCCACCATTGCCTGGTTACGTAATATCCCGTGGGACACCTGGGGCTACGCATTTCACAGTGTGTTGCGAAAACCGGTACAGAATTATCTTGTACTGAATCAATGCTGCTACACTGTCATACCAAAATTAATAGGCGGGCAATTTGTCTCTTTCATGTATCTGTCTGTCCGCGTGAAAAAAGAGTTACCATTCTTTAAATAACCCATGGGCCCCCATGATCTTCTGGAAGTCCATTATTTCAGCAGCATCGATTCAGTACAAGCAAACTCTGGACTGGTTTCGAAACACATATTGCCTGAATAAATGCGAAAGAACAGATATCATAGGCAAGGATGCTTCTCTTTAAGATACGGTACCTAGTTTGACGCCCGATGATAAATATAATACATAGCTGAAAATAACCATGAGCGTTGTTGTGGAGAATATATATAGCAAACATAGATTGGCAAAAAGATAATTTCATAAGGATTTTTCACGAGGATGTGCGCATGTGCTCATTACCAACAATTGTGGCATTTTGCCAAAGCAATGTTTTGGCCATACGTCAAGAAGGAACTCTGGCCCCAGAAGTCTATTTTCAAGGGAGACCTGTGTTTTCTAAACGGGTTCAGCAAATCAACCGGCTAAATCCCACCGTGTAAACAACACTGAGCAGAAACTACCATTTGAACAAAAAAAAGTGCTAAACATTTACGAATTGATGTGAGGTAATATTTGACTCACGTTTGGTAACACTTTATGTAGATGAAGAAGTGGCACAGTGTTTAGTGGCACAACGCTATGGACCACGTGACCTGAGCTTCATTGGAACGTGGCTAACATCAGTGCTGGTATATATCTGCGCATGCATGTTTGTTAAACTTCTTTCGCACCGTACGTAGCCAACCGTGCTCAACAACCAGCACAGGCCAGCGTTGTGAAGTATGGTCAAACAATATCGATTACTGATATGGCGTGGGGCAAGCCTATATCCAGAAGTGGATTTGGAATTACATTTAATACAAATATTCGCGACAGTTGTGTGGAGGTGACAAACTTTATAATTAAAGTTATTAATAATAAAAACTTATATTTTTACAAAAAGGCCTCACTTAGCATTGAGACTTATGAGGGGCATGCATTGGGATACTTGGCCATTTACTTTTAAATTAGGATTATTATTTTTGTATTAAATTTCGATTTAAAGCTTTCGTGACTGCAGGGATTCATCTTCTTGGTTCTTTCGGTAAAGTCACGTAGAATGGAAATAATAAAATAATAAAAATAAAACTTTATTAAATAATTCTCACGACGTTTCGGCCACAACGCAAGCAGCCGTCCTCAGGTGGAGAGCAGGTCTGTCTTCTGGCCGACACGTCGTGAGAATTATATTAT